CAGTACTCAGCCCACAAGCCAATCATGGAACATTTTCTTTTTTGTACAGATTATTGTACCATGATTTTCTTGGCACACAGTCTGTCCTCAGACAAGTGTGAAATAATAATAGTGATAGTACGGTGGACGATGCAGCAGTTCACAATCCGGTTCAGTTCCAAAAGTTTGATGAAGAACACGGGTAAATTTCGGTGTAAGAATGTCGGACGTGGAGACGATAGTCTATGACAATCAAACATTTTTTTCCAGTTCAGTACGACACATGAGACAATGGGGAAAGTCTGCTTGAACTTTATCTTGATGAGGATAGATGAAACAATGGACAATCGCACATAGATGATTGTTGTATCGTTAATCTGTGATCGGTCCTTGATTTTATTCATCACTCTAGCCCCTCAAACGTTGCATCAATCGCGAGATAGAGAGGGAACTGAACGAGAGTCATCTATTAATCACCTGAAACGACAGGCATACGGATCAATGGATCAATCCATGTCGAACACGTCGATTTCAGTTTCAATCTGTACAATCATTAACCTTGCACTTTCGCTTTGGCAAACATTGCATACCGAGGTGTCCTAGCCAATCTTCATCTACAGAGGTCAGACAATTCATCCGGTGTATGTGCCTAAAACTCTCCGTTTATACTCCTCATTGTTTGTCCGGAATCCAGTAATGTCGCATAGGCTGTGGTGTTCGAGCACCGATGGCCTATCTCTTATCATGTTCACATCACGTCGTCAAGTCTCCACACGATGCAGCAGCATCGACTGAACTGCCGCAGTATACAAGCTCTCCTCAGCACCCAGACTCATTCTAACTGGGGAAGTAATAGATCAGGTGGATAAGTTTTGTTATTTAGACAGCTACATCACACCCGGTAGACGCATCACGGATGAAGTGTGTGCTCGCATACAGAAAGCTCGGTTGGCACTTGCCAACTTGAGAAATCTGGGGTACATATTTCACACTTGTCTGAGGACAGACTGTGTGCCAAGAAAATCATGGTACAATAATCTGTACAAAAAAGAAAATGTTCCATGATTGGCTTGTGGGCTGAGTACTGCCAGGTTACCCAGACCAAGGCAGG